CTAATGCGCGAGTCGTGCTGCATATCCTGATTGGTCCTGCAGTCTTCTGGGACCTGTGAAAGTTCCCAGGAGACTGTGGGAGGGAGGAGGGGAACCGGACCGAATTTTGCCGTGGCGCACTGAGCCGGAAGTGGGAGAAGGTACCTGTCAAAACCAGGTACCCGCTCCCCCCCAAAAAAAGTGTTAAATATGGCAGTGGAGGCAAACAAGTGGAACTTTGGGAGGAACTCCACATTTTAAGTGGACTTCCCCGCTCTCCCCAACCTCATCTGATTGGATATTTGATCTCAATAAGTGCGTTTCTTATAAGACACCTCATTACTTTTTTTTTTCTCAGAAATTCATTAAAGAGGTTTGACTCAATTTGGACATGTTGGTTAACCCACATGAGTATTGAGTTAGGACACAGGACCTTTTAGATCTAGCAGCACTGTCCAGTCTATTAAAAACTGGACCTGTATATAATGTGGGATCCCTGCTGGCCGCTATAATGCTTCTTATTCATTTTTTTGTCTGGACTAGATTTGGTATGTTCTAGGTTGTTTGTTTTTTTTGTTTTTAGTTTTTTGGGGGGTTTTTTCTTCATTTTGTTTTGTATGTTTGTTCTATGTCATTTTTTTGTTTGAGATATTCTTTCAAAATAAAATCCTAATTTAAAAAAACAAAAAACAAAGATGGGTTGCTTACAATGATCAGCTTTTATTTACTTTGTAACCTTTTTATCACAAAAAGAAAATTGTTGCTGTAACTGTTTATAAAATTTTAGCTGGAGTTTGGCTTTTATGTGTTAGGCCTGGTTCACACCAATGTTTTTTGTTTTTTTTTTGTTTGTTTTTTATTGCTTTTTTTCATGGGTTTCCTGTAGGACAGGTTCACATCTATGCATTTTTGCATCCACTTCATTTTTGGATAGTCAGGGATGTTTTTAAATGCAAAAAGCAGAGTTTTGCTACAATAGATTTCAATGGAGACACTACTGAAACGCATGTAGTGCAGGGTTTTTTTTTAATACGTTTTTGCTGCGTTTTGCATTTTTATTCTGCCCCAGCAACAAAAACATATACCCTTTAACAAAAACGCAAAATGCGTAACAATACATCAAAAACGCATGTGTAAAATGCACAGCGCAATGCCAAAAGCATTGCAAAAACGGATCAAAAGCAAACTCCATAGGTGTGAACCAAAGCTTTATTGTATTTAAATATGCTAGTATATTTAATACTCAGTACCAATCACTTATTGTGTTCATTCAAAAAAGGAAGGAGCTGGTAAATGTGACGTATTTAGAGGAGGGGAGGGAAGCTGGCAGCACTGCAGGGGTGGGGGTCACACAGGGGGGCCTGGGCAGCAGGGTGAAAAATATGATGAAATTTATATAATAAACAGCGCAAAACAATACCCAACAAATTTCACATAATAGAGAAATAAAGTGAAAAACTCATATTTTGATTTAAAGTGTCCAAAAAAATGTGTATATATATAAAAAAAACTTTTCTCCAACTTCAGAGTGCTTCACCAAAAACGAATAAATATATATTGTGGTTATCCTTCTGTGATAAGTGCTTCCACCATCCACCAGTGAAAAAAACATTAATCGCACTCACCAGATAATGGCGAATAGAATGCCTTTTAGGACTTTTAGGGATCCTACACTCCTACACCCCCTCTTGTAGCCTCCAGACCTCCATTCCACCACACCAGACTAGGATGATTCTTCCACCTTTTTTCTCCAAAACCGCTCCACCGTTGTGCCAAAGAAGAAAATATTGCATATAGTATGATATTGCTAATGACCTCCTCTTACATCTATAGTAATAATGCCAAGTCACTCATGGTTCACAAAATCATTGGAGGCTTTTTATTATATAGCCTCCATCGGCCAAACACAGTCAAATACCATCCAGGATCAGTTGCAGAAATCTCACAACTTGCTGTGCAGAGGATGACAGTATGTGTGACAGACAGATCCCAAAATGGCCACTGGAACGCACCGCTCGGCGTGCGTTCCACTCACCGGAAGTGGTGTATGAAGTTCAAACAGCGGACCGGAAGTGCGTCAACGCGTTTCACCCCTCCCACTGGGCGTTCTCAAGACCAGTGGGAGGGGCGAAAATATGATGCACAGGGAGAATGATAGGTGCATTGGGGGGGCAATTACTGGAACCGGTCCCCTGTATGGCTGCAGCAGTTGAAAGCCAGCAAGAGAGAGAGGAGAAGAAGCCAGCTTTCAGCTGCTGCAGGGGAAGCCGTATATGTACAGTGGCTGGGCGGCATGTAGTTAAAGGCCATCTACAACATGTACAAATCTGAAAATTTACATAATGACAAGTAAATGGTAAAAAAAAATCCAACACGTTCTCAATGTAAGAATAGATTGTAAGCTCTCATGAACAGGGTGTTCCCAACCCTCTTGTAGTAAAATGTATTGTAACAGCCTGGAACCAGTTGGCTGTGTCAGACAGACTGGGGAGCAACCAAACCAACCTACGGAACGAATGAGGAGGCGATAATCAGGAGGAGAAAAGCAGGTGATTGCTGGCAGATCAAGGAGGGATTAATCCCTGCAGAGATATCCAGCTAATAAGGGGCTTACGAGGTATCCATAGGAAAGATCACATATCCATGATATGCTACGGCTGTTCCAGCAGGTTCCAGGTTGTGTGAACCACAAGCGTGTGTAGCCTATTTTTTTAGGCATAGAAGGAGGTGAGCGCACACTTTTTTACTGGTTGGAGGATCACGGAAAGTTACTATTTCATGATTAATAAGTCACCACGTCATGATTTTTGGATCACTTCTTGAATGATGGGACTATATATTTTTTAGGCCAAAGCAATAATCACGTTTTTTTATATTTGGACATTTATTGAAATCATGTCACTATAATTGTTTCATTTATAAAAGTATGGTTTAATTATGTTATGTGTTTATCACAAATCACAAGTATGAATAAATATTTTTTAAGGAGCGCTGCATTTATAAATGTATTATTAGGTTGCACAGTCTGAGTTATGTGTTAGATGTTGGCGATCCATAGAAACACTTTATTGATTATATAGTTTGGCTCGCAAGTCATACACATTTTTTGTATTGTAACTCTGCCTCCCTTTTATTTTGCGAAGCATTGCACAGAGTGCTGGCACTGTATAATATATTAATAGCACTCTACCTCTAACATTCTCTGCCAGGCTGGAATTGACAACCAGGTAAACATGCCACTACCAGTGATGCAAGTACCACCCTCTACACCAATACATATGGTGCCAGCTACTGCTCCCATGCAACTTCCAGTGATACAAGTACCACCCTCTACACCAGTACATATGGTGCCAGCTACTGCTCCCATGCAACTTCCAGTGGCTAATGAGAAAAACCTGCCGCTGCCGGTGATGCAAGCCCTGCCTTCTACACCAGTACAGATGGTGCCAGCTACTGTTCCCATGCAAGTTCCAGTGGCTGTGCCCATACCAACACATCCTGCAACTTACCCCTCTGCACACCCGGGTATGTACCCCCATTAATATTGTGGGTAGATGCAGTCTGTATTTCTATTATTAACACATAGTAGTGCAAGCAGGGGCGGACTGACCATTCGAGCACTCGGGCAGTGCCCGAGGGCCTGGGGTCAGTAGGGGGCCCCATAAAATGCCTCTGGTACCTTCTTCTTTTTTTTTTTTATAGGCTTTTTTGGGTGTGTTTTGAGTGTGGGCAAGGACACAGGGGCCTTATGATCCCCAATTGTCCGGGGGCCCCATGAGTTGTCAGTCCACCCCTGAGTGCAAGGTGAGGGTTATACAACGGGCGTGTGGTTTGAGAATGCAAAGTCATAGGACTGCATGGTAAAAAAAACTCTCCTGGCATAGGGAGAAGACCTGGCTTTTCCCTGCTGCACTTCAGTGACCTTTACGGGTCTAGCCCCACCCCTACCTTGTGACTGGGCAGTGAAAGGAGAAGCATCAGAATAATGAGCTCCTCTGTCACTCTGCTCTCTCCCGCTGTTGGTGGACTGTTACAGCACAGCTAATTGACTTGATGTGCTGCTTTTGTTTCCCCCTGTCTTAAAGTGATACTAAACAATTTTTCTAAAATAAGAGGTTTTACTTGCCTGCTCTGTGCGTCAATATTGCAAAGAGCAATCCCTTTACCTCCTTTTTAGAAGTCTCCCACCAACCTTGTCCACTCCTTCTTCCTTCCAAGTGTCCCTTTAGGCAAGCCGTGTGCTAGAGGGGAAACTAATGTGGTGTGCTCTTGAGCAGGGCTGTGTACATCCATAGACTCGCACAGCTCTGGTAAGTCAGGCCACCACCCTCTCCTCAAAGGAGTGTGACTATTGGCAGAAGGAGCCTGTGGCTCCCCCTGCCTTCAGCATCTCCTGTGAGACTAGAAAGAGGAGAGTGGTGCTGCCGCCGGGACATCGGTGGGTGACTGCACCCAAATAAGTGTCTAGGGACAAGGAGGGCTAGAACATTAGTGTTTTGTTTTTTTACCTTCATGCAGAAAATGCATTAACCATTTCCAAGACCAGACGTTCACCCCCTTTCAGTACAGGCCATTTGAAACCATCCCAGATCTGGATGGTTTGGCAGATCACAGATCCCAAAAGTGTACACTGCACTGCATATAACTGCAAGTAAAATGAGGGCGTTTTACTTGCAGATATATGAAGCCCAACCCATGTGCTTATTAGTAAATTTGTTTTCAGGCTTCTGCTAAAAAAAAAAAAAATCTGGATTACAGAATTTAATATCTCAAGCTGAATGCATACACACTGGCAGAAGGGTGCCACCTCCTCTTCCTCTGGTCAACATGATGTTTCAATTACAGAGACAGTCTGAAGGCAAACAGGTGGTGGACATTTACTAAAATTGGTGCACACAGAATCTGGTGCAGCTCTGCATAGAAACCAATCAGCTTCCAGGCTTTATTGTCAAGGCTTAATTAAACAAGCTGAAGTTGGAAGCGAAGCCGATTGGTGACTATCAGGGGCAGACTGACAACTCATGGGGCCCTCGGGCAATAGGGGATCATGGGACCCCTATGTCCTTGCCCACACACCCAAAAAAGCCTATGAAAAAGGTACCAGGGGCATCTCATGGGGCCCCCTACTGACCCCCGGGCCCTCGGGCAGTGCCCGAGTTCACAAATGGTCAGTCCGCCCCTGGTGACTATGTACAGCTGCACCAGATTGTGTGCTATCAGTTTAGTAAATGTCCCCGTCCCCAGTGTCTGCTGTGATGTGCATGGGTATATACCTATGTTTATGTGTAAGAGTCTTTTAAACTCACATTTTACCGTGTATAAAACAAACGTACTTTACTTAAAGCAGTGTCCCCCACCCCCAAGAAAAAAAAAAATGTAAGAGTCAGTAGCTACTAATACTGTATAACATTAGGTCACTTCCCTGTCCAGGGATCCAGCAGTGTCCCCACCCCGAGCTGATTCTTCAATTGGTTGTTGGGTGCTGGAGCCGCCATCTTGAATAGGGGAAACCAGCAGTAAAGCCTTGCGGCATAGTTGGTTTCCTACTGCGCTGTGGTTTGTGAATGGGCTGCAGTCCTCTGGGCTGAGGTCTGTAATGGGGGGGGGGGGGGGGGGGATTGGCGAATGTCCAGCTCAGTTCACTGCGGCGAACTGAGCCGGAAGTGGGAACGGGTACCTGCCCAAAACCAGGGACCCCCTCCCCACCCAAAAAAGGTGCCAAATTTAAATAAAGCACCATTCTCCTATCTGCCTAGCTCCTCTGATTAAAAGTAACCTATCATCCCTGCCGCAGACACTTAATATATGAAACTTAGATACTGCAGGCGAAGTCATTGGCTGCTCTGTGCAATTGACCTCTATAGGTCATCTCCTGACTTCAACTAACTATGCATCTGAAGTGTGGGGGGGGGGGGGGGGGGTTCTAAGCAGTTAGACTAACAGTCCATTTATTCCTTAAAAAAAAAAAATTAAAACCATCATGAGTTTCCTTCTTAAGACAATCACAGAGCAAAAAAGCAATTCTCCTCATTGCACCATGGACATGGTCATCTGGGGAGGACTTGCAGCCACTTCAAGAGACAACTCCAAATCTGGTGCAGGTGAGCATGGTAGCCAATCAGCTTCCAACTTCAGTTTGTTTAATTAAGCTTTGACAATACCTGGAAGCTGATTGGTTTCTCTGCATAGCTGACCAGATTCTGCACTCTCCAGTCTTCGTAAATTAAGCTCAATGTATTTCTTTGTGGTAATGCATATAAATGTTTTCTTCTAGTTATGACCATGCAGCCCCAGCCACAGACTTCTGTTGTGTTGAACATGCAGGGCGGCTCTCAAATGTACGACTACATGGGGCCACGAGGAGGGCCTATGGCATATGGATCCATTTCATGGGGTAGTGGTCTCTTACAGTGCTGTGATGACATCCCAATGTGTAAGTACAGATGACACCACTGATTCAGTAGTATGCAGTGACTCCACTTTGTGGATGACCCCCAGAGGGTTTTTTTTTTTTTTAATTTTTTTTTTTTTTTAAGCAGCATTCTAGGCAAACCGCTAATTATACAGATGAAATCCATATGTGAGCTGTTCTACCTGACAAAGGAGTTATTTGTCTATCCAGTCCCTAGGGTCCTTTCTCTGAATCCTGGCCAGAATGCTATCTAACTGGAGTTTGCATGTTCTCACTGTTCTAGCGTGGGTTCCCTCCAGGTATTCCTGCCTTCTCCCACACTGCAAAGACATGACTGTAGTTTTAATTGATTTCTAGTCTAAAGTGGCCCTTGTATGTGACAGTATATATGGGAGATGGGGACCTTCTATGTTAAAGTGGTTCTAAAGGCTGATTTTTTTTTTTTTTTTTTTTTTTTTTTCTGTAATGCCCTCCAGGTTAGCCAGATAGGCTGTTGTGTGTGGTGTGTTTTTTTTTTTGTCAGAGGCTAAGTAGCAGCGTGAGATAAGCCAGCCTGTGAGTGAGGCAGGAGTTCATCACAGGACAGGCTAGGAGGCTCAATCAGGTCAGGGCTTCTGGTCTGGAGCCTTCCCACCTCTCCAAAAAGTGGAGAGCTTTCTGAAGGAAAAGTGGAGGAGACGCAGATCTGCAAGGTTGAGGGACCTTGGCCAATCTCCTGGCAGGAGACTGGGCAACCCTCAAATGTGGCAGAGCCTGAGAAGGGTCAGTGAGTGTCCGGTGAAAGATGGAGTGAAAAGCTGGAGCATGGAGCCTGGGAGGGGGCCTACCTACAGACTTTTGCTGGAAAAGAGGATCTCTGCTGCCTCAAAACATCTCTGGAGGACAGCCTGTGTAGCAGGGAAGGAGCTAGCCCAGCAAAAGGCCTGAAGGCAGCCACCAACCCATTAAGTGATCAAGAGAGGACCTTGTGCTTGTGAGTACTCTTACCCCCCAGGCCGGATAAGGGGAGAGGGAAGTCAGGTGCAAGACCCAACTAGCTTCTCATCCAGGACTGGTTAAAATTGGCAGCTCTTGGGCCCCCCTTACCCAGGGATACCCTCAAGGCAGCTGGGTGGAGAAGAGGAATCATCCACGGTCTGAGAAGGTACACCGAAGGCTCTTAGATTGTAAGCTCCAAGGAGCAGGGCCCTCCTAACCCTCTTGTATTGAACTGTATTATTGCTATATTGTCTCTCTTTGTATTGTAAAGCACTGAGAAAACTGTTGGCACTATATAAATCCTGTATAATAATAATCCCTTAGAGAGACTGTTGGTATCAACTTTTTTGTACATAGTTGCTAAGCCTGACTGTGCAGAGTTTAAGGAGTTTAACTCAGTGACTCCTACGGGATAGTGCTACGTTACTTTCATGCATTCTATGCATGAAGGGAAGAAACCTTCTGTATCCAGCCCCCCCTTATACTTACCTGAGCCCCATCACGATCCAGTGCTGTGCAGGAAAGCAGTCTCTCTCTCTCTCCTCACAGGGCAGATCCATAGCGATGGGAGCCATTGGCTTCCGCTGCTCTCAAATGCTGTGATGAGGGAGTGGGGGGCGGGGTTGTGCCCCACCATCTGTGTGTATGGATGCAGGCAGTGGAGCTCAGGACACGAGTGCCCCCCAAAAGGAAGTAACTTCAAATGGGGGCACTGGATGAACTTTGGCAGTCCTGTGTTTAATGAAAGCAGTGATGATCTTGGCACCACTCTCTGATTAAATACTTTGAATGAAGGACACTGTGATAACCCTCCCTTAGGGGGCAGGAATAGAAATCTTGCAAAGGACAGTTCTGCAATGCATTTATCATTTTCTCTGCCTAGAGGCCCATTGTATTTAAAAAAAAATAAAAAATTGCTTGTAGTTGGACTTTAAATGGTTACAATAAAATGCATATTATATTCTGCATCTTTTTCTCTCCCAGGTATCTTGGGTTCTTGTTGCGCCTGCGTATTTCCCTGCTACCTGTCTTCAATGTTCGGTGAGGGGTGCTGTTTTGGAATGCTGCCAGGTGCCATGTGCCTATTGCGTACAGGAGTGAGAGAGCGTTACAGAATACCAGTGAGTCAATTTAAACTTTGCTTTCTCTTTGCTTCCAACTATAGGCCTGATTTGGGGCCCTTTTTTATACCTATGTGATAATGTTTTTGAGGCATTGACTTTAGGCCTTTCTATTCCTGTGGGACCTTAAGTGAAACCTCACCCTTTTGCCCATTCAGGGCAAAGTAATAGTGTCTTCTCATGGCCCAACCACCTAGTGCATTGTTAGTCAATCCACCAGAAAGTTACACTCACCAATTTGCTATCCTTCGCCACAACCTCATTGTCAGAGCCCACGTTCTATTCCTCTAACAAGGCAGGAATTCCGGCTATGGGGAAGCTCGGTTACTTTTCTGGAAAGGTTTATGCAGTGGCTACCACTGTTTGATAATGAGTTCAGGGAGATTTGATGAATATTCACGGATTTCTTCCTTTCAACTGTGAATGAACCTAGAAGTATCCATGTGGCACTATAAAGAACTTTTGTCTCCCCTATGTGCTGCAGTTGGTGATTGGGTACATTTGGGGGGGGGGGGGGGGTTGGTTTAGTCTAATGGCTCCCCAAGCTGTGGCCTGTTGGCTAGATGCGGCCCTTTGCTGCCATTTAACTGGCCTTGGGGGGTCATATCCCTTCTACCAACCATGGGACATATTTTTCTCCCACTGATATCATCCGTTGGGTATCATATATTGCACTTACACCAGCAATGAGGTGTAAGAATCACAAATATGATAAAATTTATTTCAACAGCAAGCATGGAACACAATTCCTCCTTCCCACTGGCACCAGGGATAGGGCACAATTTCTACCCATCTCAACTGTCCACAGGTGCTGGGTCACTCTTTTACATCCACTGATCGACAGTATTATTATCATGCCAGGGAACGATCTAGGTCCACAGTTCACCAGCTGGCTCCCATATAGTCTTGGGGACAATGAACCCCTGCTCCCATTACTGATCAACCTGATAGTTATGGGTCCTTAACTGTACCCCCTTTCATAACCAATGAGCTGCACACAACATTCAGAATATGTAATGCTGTGTGTCTATAGCCGTCTCACTGCTCATTCGCAGGAGTACTTTTATAAAAAAAAAAAAAAAAAACTACCAGTGCACTATACCACAACCCATTTAATAAACTACCTACCTCTGACCCCTGAATGGGCACTTTTTGGCCTAATTGATATCCCAGATACTAGGATCTCAAGAGGCTGCAAACTGCTCACGATTATATCCCTTGCAGCACGGAAAAGCATTCTTCATAAGTGGGTCTATCCAGATCCCCACTATTTCTTTGTTTTTTATAGCTAAAACTATATAATATTTTTGACGTGGGCTGGGTGGAGAATCACTGGTCAAAAAATTTGACGTTTGGGAATCCTTTGTTCAAACTCTACCAGTTGGTACCCAACAGTCTATAATGAAGTGCTTCTAATATAGCCAGTGGTATCAAACTAGATTGATAATTCATGACCCTCCAATTGATTCAGTATCCTCCATTTAATTGGCAATATCCATTTTAAAATCTTGTAGTTAAGCCCCCCCCCCCCCCCTCCATCTCCACTTATCAATTTTTAACCAACCACTATCCATCCTGGTGCTCACTGTGACTCCTTTTCTTGACTCTGTTCTACTAGTTTACTTTTAAACCATTTTTTTAAGAACCGTCATTTTTATCATTTTCAGTTCTATCTTCAGCCAAATGTTGCAGCCTCTGGCGTTGTTAAATGCGTTCTTACCTAGAATAATGGAAAAAAAAATTTGAACCCTTTAAATTGCACCCAGCTGCACACTGCCTCAACATTTATAGTGGACTCCTCTTAGTAAAAAAATGTTTTTAACTTGGTCTCTCACCCATTAGAGAACCCCCTATAACATGTTTTGTCCAGTAGTGGATGTGTGGAACACTCTTACCATCTTACACCTCTGTCCATACAGGGTAGTCTTTTGAACGATTACTGTACCATTTGCTGCTGCTTGACATGTGCTCTCTGCCAGATGGCCCGAGAAATAAAAGGACGAGATTGGCATAACAGAAGACTTCCAATGCCATGGAGGCCTGATGCAAGACCCTTATAGGGTACCATGCTTTGTTATGTACAGTTTTGTTCAAAATAATAGCAGCGTGTTGAAAAAAGTGAATAAAGCTCAAAATCCTTCTAATAGCTTTTATTTCCATCCACACAAATGCATTGGGAACACGACACATTCTATTCCAAATCAAAACATGAAGAAAAAATATCAAATTTGTGTTGTTTCCTCTAAAAAAAATTGAAGAAAAGTGAATATTAGACGGTTCAAAAAAATAGCAGTGTTTGTATTCTTCTTTACAAACTCAAACATTCACTATATAAACTGAAAAATGTTTGAAGATTTTGCTTTCCTTTGAATCACATAATGAATATTTGGTTGTAGTCGCACTTTCTGAGAACTGCTGTACATCTGTGTTGCATGGAGTCACCCAACTTCTGGCCCCTGTGATCAGGTATTCCAGCCCAGGATGATTGGACCACATTCCACAGTTCTTCTCTATTTCTTGGTTTTGCCTCAAACTGCATTTTTTTTTATGTCGCCTCACAAGTTTTTTATTGGATTAAGATCCGGGGATTGGGCTGGCCACTCCATAACGTCAATCTTGTTGGTCTGGAACCAAGATGTTGCACATTTACTGGTGTGTTTGGGGTCGTTGTCTTGTTGGAACACCCATTTCAAGGGCATTTCCTCTTCAGCATAAGGCAGCATGACCTCTTCAAGTATTCTGATGTATTCAAACTGATCCATGATCCCTGGTATGCGATAAATAGGCTCAACACCGTAGTATGAGAAACATCCCCATATCATGATGCTTGCACCACCATGCTTCACTGTCTTCACAGTGTACTGTGGCTTGAATTCAGTGTTTGGGGGTCGTCTGACAAACTGTCTCCGGCCACTAGACCCAAAAAGAACAATCTTACTTTCATCAGTCCACAAAATGTTGCGCCATTTCTCTTTAGGCCAGTCAATGTGCTCTTTGGCAAATTGTAACCTCTTCAGCATGTCTTTTTTCCAACAGTGGGACTTTGCGGGGGCTTCTTGCAGATAGCTTGGCTTCACATAGGCGTCTTCTAATTGTAACAGTCCTCACAGGGAACTTTACACCTTCTTTCATCTTCCTGGAGCTGATTGTTGGCTGAGTCCTTGCCATTTTGGCTATTCTTCTATCCATTCGAATGGTAGTTTTTCACTTTCTTCCACGTCTTTCAGGTTTTGGTTGCCATTTTAAAGCATTTGTGATCATTTTAGCTGAGCAGCCTATCATTTTCTGCACTTCTTTATATGTTTTCCCCTCTCCAATCAACTTTTTAATCAAGGTACGCTGTTCTTCTAAACAATGTCTGGAACAACCCATTTTTCCTCAGAATTTCAGAGAAATGCACTGTAACCAGCATGTCCAACATTTGCTGCCTTCCTTCCTTTAAATAAGGGCAATAATTGCCACCTGTTTTTCAAAGAATGAATGACCTCACTAATAGAATTCCACACTGCTATTATTTTGAACATGCCCCTTTCAATGAGTGATTCAATTACACAGAATCAGCAGCATGCATGTCATGACTGTTGGGTCTGTTGGATTTCTATTACTCTACTACACCTGCTAGGAAATTATTTGCCATGTAGAAAGATCATTTCTACCAAAAACAGTGATTGATCCGGTTAGTGATGTCTAACTGCTATTATTTTGAACACAACTGTATATTTATATGTAACTTTATGTATTTATAATAAATATTTATATTTTTGAGTGAGACTGTTATGTTAAAGTGCAAGTCCAACCAACATATAAACATTTAGTTTTGGTTGTCTTCTGACAGGTTGTTACCCACCTTGTCCCCAGGTTTTCCCACACTTTTGCATGATCACGACTGACACAAAAAGCTGAGGTCCTAGGAGCAGAGTTCATCCTTGATTGGGCCTGCTTGACCATAATATATTGAGGAGGAATGGCCACATTCTCACAAGGATGATGCTATGATCCTAATAACTTGAGATATTCCATAGCAAAGGTATTTCAAGTGTATGGCAAGCAGTACATCTCTGCAATACATGCGCATCCCCTATGCTTTAACCCTCTAAAGTGCTTCCAGTTCTGAAAAAATCACCTGTTGATCTCCCAGAAATCCAGTGTGCCTCTGTCTTTAAGGCAAGCAGTGTATTTGCTGAATTGAAATCTCAAGCACAAGGGTGGACTGACCATTTGGAAACTCGGGCACTGCCCGAGGGCCCGGGGTCAGTAGGGGGCCCCAAGAGATGCCCCTGGTACCTTTTTCATAGGCTTTTTTGAGTTTGAGCAAGGACACAGGGGCCCCATGATGCCCTATTGCCCGGGGGCCCCATGAGTTGTCAGTCCGCCCCTGCTCAAGCAGCATTTTAGTCCCTGGTTGCTGGTTTACTGAATCACCTGTCCCAGACCTCTTTCCTTTCCTTCTCTACAGCCATACTATATATATATAATTTTTTTTTTTCCCCCCAGCAAATCAATGTTGTTACCAAGGGCCAGGCTTCAATCTATAGGAAAAAGAGTGCTTGGGAGATGTGTTCTGATGTGGGGATGTGCCTATGTACATCGTACTGAGCTCCCACCAGCAGCCTTTGTGGGAATTTTACAACCCTGGTAATGTCATAGGTTGCAAATCAATGTTTCTCACTACAGGAACAAGGTGAAAGAAAAAGCCTGGTGTAGGGGGGAGGGTTGGGTAAGTCTGGATGACATTTTATGGAAAATCTCCCACAAATATGGTCAAGACACACCTCACTTGGGCTTATGATCAGTCCACCAAAACACAAGTGTTCCATTTTTAGGTAGATCTGAGAAGAGGAACACCATGGATGACTTGTTTTGAAAGATGTTGACTCTGGGGCAGTTATCTTGGTGTTCCTACTGACTAATGTGTGAAAAGCATGGAGTCAGAATACGCATCAAGTAACGTTAAGAAGTTCACATTTTACTATGTCAGTGACTAACTAGGTGGTTAAGCCAGACTTAATATGGGAGCCTGCAAGTAGGAAATGGAAGCTCCCATACCTTTTTGCTATCCTCATAAGTTCTTTTTAAACATTTATCTTCTGGGAACTCCACTGGCAACATTTGCATTATTGACCCTTGTTCGATGTCTTTTTTGTTTCTTTTGACATTTTTTGTTGGTGAAAGTAATGGGAAAACTTAGGGTTCCATTTAATGCCTTTTAAAATGCATGCCAACCTCTTTGCTGTCTATAGAAAATGCCTTTTATATATAGCTAGTGTGTGACCCTTTACAATATGGAAGCTAGAGCAAATACTTGTAAACTCTATCTAATGGAGCTGGACTCTAAAAAATCTGGCAATGTGTTACAGGGAGAAATATGTACAGTGGACTGGATGTTCTGTTACTTTACAAGGTATCTACTTACGGAAAAAAATCCTGCTTTTGAGGTTCAGTGCAGTGTTGGCACAGTAAAGCCCCTGAAAGAGACCACTGTAACCATCTAAGGCAACCTTTTTTACCTTGCAGGTAACCGTGAAATAATTTTAAGGTCTCAGGGAACCCCTGCTAAAACCAATTAATGGGGGTGAGTGGAGGAAAACACCCCCTACCTTGGTGGCCAGTGGTGACCTTACAGATGGCTAAAAAGATAATTTGTCCTGATGCTATCTCTGCTGTGGCATTGACCCCAGAACTATCCAGCACCATCAAATGGGAGGTCAATTAGTCATAGCTCAAGAAAGACCTAGCAACCTCTACAGCAGTGGTCTCCAAACTGTGGCCTTTTGCTGGCTTTTTATCTGCCTTTGGGGCACTATTTCCCTGCCCCCCACTGACACCAACAGTGGGACGTAATTCCTCCCTCTGACACCAACAATGGGGTATGATTGCTCCCCTTGACATTACTGATGGGGCATAACTTCTTCCTCTCTCTCCAGTGATGTGGTATTCTTCCTTTCACTGACATCAATGATAGGGCACTATTCCTTCCATCAACACCAAGAATGAGCCACAATTTTATTCGACCCACTGACACCACTGATGGGGCATTATTGCACCTACTGACACCACCAATGGGGCACTATTCCTCCTACTGACCAGAGGGGTGCTATGTACATTTTTCTTTTTTTTTTTTTTTTCTTCTTTTTAAACTCCTATGGCTCATCAAGCATGAGGCATTATCTACTCTCAATGGCCCTAGTCTGCCCACAACCCAAAGTCTGAAGGACAGTAAACTGGCCCTTGTTTTTAATGTTTGGAGACCCCTTCTCTAGAGCAACCCTGGTCCAGAATAACTAATCTAAAGACAAGCCTGCTTGTGAAAGATTGGGTAAAATACTACAATGCTGACAACGTATATTATTCAACCTGTGGCAAATATCATTGTTACATGTTCTTTACCTTCTGGGTGACGTTCCTTGCTTGACCCAGAGGGAAGCTAGCCATCTTCCAAGAGACCCAAAACAGATACTTTCAAAGGCTCACCCAAAGTCCTCAACATGATCACTATTTGTGTTCTTGCCAAATACCTTCGAGCATCGCAGCCTGCCTGTAATCTGATGCCGATTCTTATTCCTCAAGTAGTCTGGATGCTCAAAGCAATAGTCTTGCGTCCCGTCATACACACTGACCCCTTCTCTCCATATCTTTACTAAACTGAAGAAACACCAAATCTCAAAAAACTTTCCGCCCAAATGTCAACAGATACAGATTCTCACACTACAAGGCAACTGCCCAAAAGAACTTCTGGTTCCAAAACCTTGTAGAGGGGTCTTGATACATCTTTACGGACACAGCTGATCACGTGATGTGGTAAAAGGCCAATCACAGCGGCCTTTTACTACGTGATCAGCCGTATCCAATGACACGCACAGGGAAATGCAATTGAAGGTTCTTGGCTGCACTTTCCTCACGCTGTCAGATCGTGAGGAAAGTACTGCCGAGAACCGGCAGTTGTCAGAGCTGGGATCGGCACCGATCATCAGGGCACTGATGATCGGTGCCCAGCAGGCAGCCAGCATCGGTGCCCATCAGTGCAGCCCAGCAGTGCTGCCAGTCAATGCCCAGCCCAGCAGTGCCGTACCCATCATCAATGCCACCTCATTAGTGCTGCCTATCAGTGGCCATCAGTGCTGCCTCATCAAAGCACATCCGTGAAGGAGAAAAATTATCTGTTTGCAAAATTTTATAATAGAAACAAACTTTTTTTTTTTTTCCAAATTTTTTGCACTTTTTTTGTATATAGTGCAAAAAGTAACACCCAGCAGCGATTAAATACCACCAAAAGAAAGCACTATTTATGAGAAAAATGATAAAAATTTCATATGGGTACAATATTGCATGACCGCGCAATTGTCATTCAAAGTGTGACAGCGCTGAAAGCTGAAAATTGGCCTGGTAAAGAAGGGGGTATAAGAGATTTAATCTCCAAATACGGAAAGGTTTCTTCACAGTAAGAGCTGTGAAAATGTGCAGAGTTAGTTCTGGCCAGCTCAGTGGATTGCTTTAAAAAAAGTCCTGGATTCTTTCTTGGATACACAGAATATAACTGGATACTAACATTTATAGGTAAACTTGATCCAGGGAATATCCGATTGCCTCTCGGGGGGATCAGGAATGTCTTTCCCTGCAGGAAAATTGGATCATGCTTTGCTGGGTTTTTGCCTTCCTCTGGATCAACTGTGGGTATAGGATTATATCCTTTTTTTTTTTTTTTTTTTTTTTTTATTATGGTTGAACTGCATGGATTTTAATCTTTTTTCAGCCAAACTATGTAACTATATGCATATGCATGCAACACAAACGGAGAGTACAGGAAGTTGTCAACTGCAAAGATTTCTGTCAGGGTCAACAGGCCATTTTGTTTCCCTTTTAGAAAGATAGAACAAAACCCTTGCAGTGATATATTTAATGGACAATAAAATGGCAAATAACAGAAGTCCCTAGGTACATTTTTACACTTTAACCTTAGAATATTGGCATACAATTCTAGTGGCCTAAAACTCTGGCACTACTGATTGTTTTAACATGCAGTTGTCACTTTAAGTGTTCTTTTGCTGAATTTTTTTTTTTTGCTTATTTAATTTACATACCTAGGTTAATTTTCACTTTAAATCACCTGTTTCCTACATATTTTTGGGATTGCAGTGTGAGATCTCTGTGATTTGGGCCCCAGGTCTGTACAACTGACCTTTTTATGACAGATTCAAGCTTTGTGTAAGATTTTCAATTCAAAGCATGGTGAATTCAAAATGAAAATTACTCAACACTCAATGGCCTGTTTCATACGGGCTTCAGTTTGTATAAGAGCAGTGTGAACAATAAGTTTTCTCCAAGCCTTTAACATGCCCTTCAGTTCCTGTTTGGAAATGTTTTACACAGATCCTAATGAAAGTGCTGATTGTCACTTATGAACAAGCTGGTAGCAGGCTTACAACAAGCTTCAAGTAGTTCTGAAGCTTGCTAGCAGCCTGTTTAAAGTGGCAATCAGCACTAGTATTAGAATCTATCTGGTACTTTTAAAACCTTCCCCAAAGCTTGCTCAAAGTTCTGCAAATGTATTGTATAAAGCTTGCTGTTCACACTGCTCTTAGATAAGCTGAAGCCTGTCTAAAACAAGCCAAAGGTGGGACTCCAAAACAGAGCTGGGGAACAAAACTAGAGACCTTACCACTATAAACCTTGATCGATATTTAACCCTAGGTTCACATCTGTGCGGGTGGTGCTGCTGCGGATCTGCATGAAAATTCATGCAGCCGCACCACCCGCACAGAGAAATGTGGACCCACAGGCAGATGCCATTAGTTCTAATGGCATGCAGCCCGCACTGGAAAACGCAACTGTACTGGGAACCGAGGTTCCTGTGCGGGCTGCTGTTTCCAAAGAAGTGCAGGGACTTCTTCCCTGCGTGTCACGGGGACGGGAGTCCATTCAAATGAATGGGCTCTTGTGCCTGTGCAAAGCACGGCCGCATATATGTGACCCAGGGGTAAAACCAGAGGATCAATCATTTCAAGTTTCCACCTGTAACTGAAACAATTGAGTACTATCCGTGATACTTCTTTTATTTGCACTAACATACAATTTTGAGGACAAGCTTTCTGGGAGTGTCCACTTCTTCAGGTCTAAGCAGTACTGAAACAAAGATTTAGCAGAATGTTAGAAGAGATGGAAAAAACAAAAAAAAAAAAAAAAACAGATTATTATTATTATACAGTAT